CAAATGATAGTACAACAGCAGATGTTTCCTAAAATGCATTACTAATTACAGATGAGTTTGTGACCAGACCAAGAAAAGAATGTTTGCGTTTTGAAGGAAGGCTGTGTGAAGTCTTTTGCAAATGAAACAAACGATCTAAAGTGACTTTCTAAATAAATAGTGAAGTTTTCTTTTGCATGTCACCATTTCACCATGAGGGGGATGTCAGAGATTTTTGCATGGCTTATAATGACAAAACTCTAATTTACATAATTCATCAATGGATGGCCTTTCGGACCATGACGGTTTGTACAATATTGAAAAAAAACATTGTTCTATACACATTGGAAAACATACTACATTTGTGCAGAACTATTTTTTTTCACCACACAAAATGCTTCTTCTAACAAAATTCAGTTCACAGTAAAATAAACCTATGTTTTAGCTGATTTAAAAAAAAATACTATTTAAATATTTTTGGCGGACATTAAAATATAAACTGCAGGTTTTCTTTAATGCAGACAGTAGACATAGCTATTATAAATTAAGTCAAGACAAAGGTTAATCTAATTGATATAGAAAAATGATTTATTCATTTCTATTTATTTCAGATAGATAGAACAATCAGCACCAAGCAATACACATATTACATACACAAATAGTCCTTTTTTGTTTTGTTTGCTTTGTCATTAAAGCTGTTGGAATCCGTGACTACGTAATACCTGTGGCGATTTCCACAGAATTAAAATCCTCCACCCCTTGTGTCTTGTTTGCTTATGCATATGCTGTTCCACAGATTTTCATCTATAATAACTACAGAAAACAAAAAAAACAAACAAAAAGGTGCTTCAATTCTGCAGATATTATAACACGGGGGTATCTTAAATCTTTGTATAAAATTACATGAATAAACAGCAGTGTGCTCCATAGTCATCCCATAATTTCACTGTGTTGTAATTACAACTTGCCAACTCGTAAATAAAAAAACTTAGCAGGACGACTTGAACACGTTTGAATCAGTAGTGTTCAGTTCTCATCTTTGCAATTATATACGCTAATTGCATATATATATATATATATATAGATATATATATATATATATATATATATATATATATATATATATATATATATATATATATATATATATATATGAAAGAGATTTGCTGATGATTTTCTTCTGGTTATTCTATTCTAGTTCATTCTTCACACTGGAACTTGCAGGTCAAGTTAAAAGCATTGCATTATCAATTGCAGAATTCCATGCAGCAAGGTCTTCTGTATGCTGTAAATTTTGGCAAATGTAGCAAGCAATGTAGATTACATATACAGAAAACACAACTTTTCCAAATAAAGCATTGAAAATTGTAGGAAAAAAGAACAATATGCAGAGGGGGTAAGATCACAATGTAAAAACAGTTATAAACTGTACTCTAAACTTTCATATTCAAGTACATTTAAAAAGTAAAACAAAAATGTATTTTAAAGGAATTTAATAGGTTGATTCTGTCACAATGGTGAATTTCGTAATTTTCTGTTCAATATCTTAGTCAAATTTAGTGTTTACTTATTTGTCATTCATTTTCAGCAGTATTCATGTCAAGAAAAAAAGCATCCTGCTTCAATAAATAAACAAACAATAATAGTTCCATATATTCATTTGAAGTGCTATCATTTAGCTGTGTGGCAAATGTACAGAATACAATACCATTTAGATTTCATGACCCAAATTTCAAGAATAGCTTTCTTGTTAAAGATAAAGAAAAGTATTCTAAAACATTCCGTTCTGTCTGTACAGTTTTCCACAAATTTACAGGACCTGCTTCAACAAAACCCAATTTATGGATTGTCTTAAAAAAAAAAATGAATGTAAAATCTTTTTGATTATTAATTATATAGACTGAGCTATTGCATTTAATCAACTCAACACTGTAACACAATAATAGTTCCATATATTCATTTGAAGTGCTATCATTTAGCTGTGTGGCAAATGTACAGAATACAATACCATTTAGATTTCATGACCCAAATTTCAAGAATAGCTTTCTTGTTAAAGATAAAGAAAAGTATTCTAAAACATTCCGTTCTGTCTGTACAGTTTTCCACAAATTTACAGGACCTGCTTCAACAAAACCCAATTTATGGATTGTCTTAAAAAAAAAATGAATGTAAAATCTTTTTGATTATTAATTATATAGACTGAGCTATTGCATTTAATCAACTCAACACTGTAATGTGCAGAATTAAGAGTGCTTGGTGTACGTTCTATACAAGAGTAATTGTTTCGATGCTCTTTGTGGTTGGACTATATATTTATTCATGTCTTTTTTTTTTATCATCTCCTAATGTTTTGATTTACCTTGATGTTTTATTGACTCTGATGACATCAGTGATAGAATAATCAAAACACAGGGTATTAAGGTAAACTCTTTTTCTTAAATGTAAAATCCTCTGTATGACAGAGAGCAACATTTTATGACTCATCCCTAGAGTATTTTCTGCCAACTGCACAAGGGTGGGCAGCCCTTAGGAAATATACTCTATAAATCCGCCATGCACAAGAGATTACCCTCAGATGACAAGTGAGGAATCTCTTTGTAAGCCCAAGCAATGCTTAACCTTTAGAGAGGCTCATTGTCTTGGCATCTGTCCGAGGAGCAACTCATTTCAGCATAACTTCTCAAACTCTCCCAGCACAAGACCCCTCAGTTGGCCTCAAGTGTAGGTTCTCACATAAGAGGTTTTGCCTGTGTATTTGCTAAGCACTAGCTTTAAAAGATTCACTGACTATAATGCAAGAAGCCCACCTGAGCAGTGTGGAAGGTCAGAGAGGTTGTTTAAGGACAGAATTTTATAATTTGCCTAAATCAAGACCACTAAATGAGAATCAGTCTACTTCCCATTAAAAAAACATAATAAGCTTATGGGAGTACCACTGTATAATCAATTGCATTTTTATTTCCTTTATTAAACATCTTCCCAACATGGAAAGAGGTTACCTGGCCTAGGTATCAGCCTGTCTATGCCCACACACCAAAATGTGACCCAGATTTGCATGCTGTTAAAACAGAGGGAGGCACACACTGTGGCTTACAATAACATATTTACATCTTCTCACACAGATGAAACCGCCTGACACGGCACTGAAGGGGAAAAAAAAACTCTGCGGAGGCAATGGAGTTTGTATTACCACTAAACAGGGCAATTAGAGCAGTATAATGCCCCACTTTAGCCAAAATGAATCCCTGTTTTGCTTGCTACAAAAATAAACAAACTTGTTTTCCTATTACTTGCTGGAGATGACCCAGATTTGCATGCTGTTAAAACAGAGGGAGGCACACACTGTGGCTTACAATAACATATTTACATCTTCTCACACAGATGAAACCGCCTGACACGGCACTGAAGGGGAAAAAAAAAACTCTGCGGAGGCAATGGAGTTTGTATTACCACTAAACAGGGCAATTAGAGCAGTATAATGCCCCACTTTAGCCAAAATGAATCCCTGTTTTGCTTGCTACAAAAATAAACAAACTTGTTTTCCTATTACTTGCTGGAGGGCTAGAAAATTAAGTTCTTGAAAAGAATTAGCTGCATGTTGGGG